GAAGAGTGCACTTTGCAGAAATTTCAGAAAAATGTATATTCTCAGGACAGCATTTCAATTTTTCCGCGAAAATATCGTGCAAGGTAGGATAAATATGAACGTTGTGTACAAGAGCTGAGTTTCTGATCATTTGATATTGTTTATCGCTGAGATCAGTATTCATTTTTAATGCAAGCTCGACACTCATGTTAATGGGAAAGGTTTTCTTCCAAAGTTTTATCAACTTTTTCTATCTCTAAAACATTAGATATATTGTTTTTTAAAACAGAGGCTTTTTTTTTTTCTCCAGCAGCTTTGCACTTTTTGCAGAAGCTAAAAATAGAGCTTCATGATGTTCAGTGGCTAGTTCTTTTATTTTTTTTTCTTTTGCTTCTCTCTCCAAGAACACTCCATTGTTTATGGGAGCTTCCAGAACCAAAATGGCTATTTTTATTGTTCATAAGATTTCTTTGAAGCCAACGATTTTCTTTTTGTATTAATGTATCATAGTTTCGTCCACATTGTTTTAGTTTTTTCTTCACCTTTGAAATAAGTATAACTAAAGCAAGCTTAACTTTATTTAAGTTTTCTTTGCGAATTTTTTCAGTATTTTTTATTTCATTAAGTAAATCCTTCCATAATTTTAATTTATCAACTCCTAATTCACGTATATTTGGGATAAGATCTAATCTTTTCATTGTTTTCGTTTTTAAGAACCATCAATATAATAAAACTAATGTATCAGACACATTTTAAATTACATTGCATATTTATATTTTACTTTACACTGTTTCAAATTTTATCTTATTATGACTTTTAACAATTTTCACATTGTTACATCCTGTAATAACACATATTACTTAGTTAACTTTATATTACATGTAATACAAAGTTAACTAAGTAATATGTGTTATTACAGGATGTAACAATTTAGTATTTCTTGAAACGAGAAATACCAAAGTTGTTCAATTAAGCTTTTTCAAATATGTTGTACTTATCGAATAATAAATCGTTCTTTAAAATTGTCAATAAATATTTTAACTATATTTAATATTTATGATTTAAAAACTATATTAGAACAAGTTCTACTGACGCCAATTTCATTTGTTTTGATATAATAAAGTTCTTAGCAAAATGGCGGAAAACAAGGTTTTTATAAAATCATCAACATTTGTTTTTCTTTAATAACTTCCGAGACCGCAGGAGACCGCAGTAATCCTTTTACATTCCTAAAGTAAAAATGTTAATTAACTGGAAAATATATATATATATATATATATTTGTGGAACTCGGTGGAACATTTTTTTAGCTGATATTTAAACAAAAAAAAGACAATTACTTTTTACTTTTTTATTCGAGAAGTTTTTAAATTTAAACGAAAAAATCGGACTTTTTTTTTTCTTATTAGTATATTTGAAATATATAGAGTCAAAATATTATTTTAAAAATCAATATACACTTTTTATTTAAATTTCAAGTTCTCTAATTTAAGTGAATAAAAACCTCACATTTTTCAGATTTCTTTAAAAATAATATCAAATTTTTTCACTTCTTTTACCTATAAAATACAAAATAAAACCTTTATAAAAAAATTATTTTTACTTTTGAAATAAAAAAATCATTGTCTTTTAATATTATCTAACAAAGGGCACTTAATTTTTAAAAAAGTGGTGAGGGGTTTATTGCCATTTTTTTGTTGTTTTGAGTCACTGTGCGGCGTGTCTATCAGTTTATATGGTCAAAGGAATCAACCAAGAAATAAAAATTGAACGTGTATTAACATTAAGTTAATGAAGATTTTAGCAAGGCGGCGAGCAGAAATTGTCAAGAATTATTTGCTCAGACGAAAACTCATACACAAAATGGTTACTACGCCATAAATGGCTTCTACGTTAAATTTATTTATAAAAGACTACTAGTGCGTGAGTTCAAAAAACATAAATTGAATGAGAATGAAATTTGAATATTATATAAGAATTATATTCGTCTACTAATTCTTAGTTAACTATTTCCTTATTTTATTAAAAATTTTATTAAAAAATGGCTGTTAATCACGGCAATTTTTGGTTGGAAGTGAAACATTATTTCCCAACAATTATTATTTTAGTTTAGTTTATTTTATTAAGTAATCGATCAAAAAGTAACAACAAAAAATTAAAGCAAAAAATAAAAATAAAATGATCGATGAAAAGGCCCTACACCAGGCTAGTTAAATAAAAAAGTTTTATATGGTATATTTTAACAATTATCAGCAAATAAAGACCTTTTTTTCAGACTATTAGGTTTTTAGTATTTTTTTTGTAATTAATATAAACTTTATTTAATAAGTAAAATTTTCCCTCAAATCGAAAAAAATGGTTTATTGCAAGAAAACAAAAAAAGATCAGCTCTTAAGCAAATTAGAGGAGAATGATATAAAGGCTTTTAACAGCTGTGCAAACTGCTTTTGTATCCCATCAGGTTTTGCTTTTTTAGAACTTAGCAAGTGGCCATTGCTGAATAATCAAAAAGCCAAACATCTAGTAGGCCAAGAATCGCCAGCATTTGTTATGACTTGACAAAAACTCAGGCTTGGAGTAATTGTTAAATATTGAGTCACATTATTTTATTGCACATATTGTTGTTGCCTTTGCCCTCTTTTTTTCGCACATGCAAGCTAAATCTTTAAAAATTTGAATTAGTAATTCAAATTATTTGCTACATTTGTGATTTAGAACATATTTCATATGGCCTAGTTAATTATAGCCTTAATAACAAATTTTCAATTTTCCATGACCTATTCATATATAAATTCGAGTCATTAAATGAAAACAATTAACGTTCCGAAAGTTCACAGCATAAACAAACTTGTAAAATCTCATTGATTTTGCTTTTAACTAATGTATAAAAGAAAAATTTATTGCGCCTTAAATTTTAGAAATGTGCTCAAAGTTTAAAAATGTTCTAAAACAAATTGAAAAGCTTGTTAAACTAAAAGATGCACCAATGAAGTATTTAAACTAATTTAAGTTAATCTTAAAGATGCACCAATGAAGTATTGGGCTGGATGATAAAGCTTTTGTCTTCTGCCTGCTCACGTCTCAAAAAAAAAAAAAAAGTTAAATTTTGATTTAAACAGTTTAAATAATTTACAATGTTGATTCTAACATTTTTCACACCACTGTGTATATGCTTTTACTTTCCAATAAACCTGCTGAAGGTGAAACGAACTATAGATGAAATATAGGTAAGTATTTACAAATTTATTATTGCTCTGTTCTTTACGAACATTGAGCACTCTATTTGTAGAATACACTAATGTAATACCCTAAATAGAATACACTTTATATATTGATTTAGATATAAATTTGAGTAGGGGAGAAAGGGACACCATTACATACACATTTGGTTTTTGTTTCAATTTTTTATAAGCGATTGGTTTAATTTGTTGAATAAATGTATACCTACAAAATAAATTCTAAAAATTACCAAAATATAACAGGTTAAAGTTGTGAGACTAGTTAAAGTGAAATTAGAAATTTGTTTCAAGGTACCCCACCCATGGGGTACCTTGATACACACTTTTAGCATCATTAAAAAAGTAAATAAAAAGTATAAAACATAGAGAAAAAGCAGATATTTATTTGAAATACTAACAAATTAATATTTTTAACACAGATAATGCATCCAATGGTCCAAATCACATTTCAGAAGACCAGTTAATATATCAATTTATATATCATTCTTAATTGTTGATAAATAATGGCTTTGAATCAAAATAGGATCTCCTTGTATTATATTCACATAAATCTTTTTAAAATTGACTATATGAAAGTGGTTATCACAACTCTTAAAATGCCTCCACAATTACAATGTTTCATGGTACCCCACTCTCCCCTATGAAGTAGATAAGGCTGCCATAACCTATCGGTTAAACAGGGAAACCTGTTGCAGCATTTTACTACTACTACTACTACTACTACTACTACTACTACTACTACTACTACTACTACTACTACTACTACTACTAACTTAACTTACATATATGTGTATATATATAAAATTTAATTAAGTTACATCTCCACTTAATTTCTTCGGTAAAACATTTTCAAACAGTTCATAAAAATGATTAAAAAAAACCCCTCAACACTAATTAATTAAATTGTAGGTCGTTTTATTTTCTAAAATGTGTTAGCATTACAGTCAATTAAGTAAACGCAAATACAAGCACTATAATTACTTATGGCAAGCGCTTATCCTTTGCAACAATAGTCACACCACATTTATTATACATTTTAATTTAAAAGAGAACTAACTTAAAGGACAAAATCTATCATCAAATCATCTTAACTATACTGAATGTGTGGACTTGGGCATTACAAGTTCTTTTACTGATTTAATAACTTAATCACTTATACAACATAGAGAATTTAATATTTCACTTGCAATTACAAAACCTGCATCTACTTTTTTGTTTCATTCAATATTTTTGCTCTAAAAACCAACAAGCAATATTTAAATATATTTACTTAAATAAAAAAATGAATTTCGTTAAGTATGTTTTGATTTAAAGAAAAGAGCTATTTACTTGAAGTTGATTTTACGAAGAAGACGTAGTTCTGATTAAAGTACTTTCGAAATAAGTAATATTTATAAGCATATAAATCTCAAGCAACTTTCCCCCCTTTTAGAAGTAAAAAACAATAGAAACACTAAAATAACGGTGCGCAGCGATAAGCTACATAAGATAACAGTAAAAAAAACGCAAGGTTGAACTTTTGATCTGATCATGGTTGTTTGCATTCAAATTAACTTAATAAAACTCTATCTAACTTTAAGACAAATAATGCAATTACTACGTCAAAAGTTTGTTGGACTGAATTTATATTCAAAATTTTATGTACCTACAAAAGACTGTTCGCAGCAAGTTACAAAATAATAAAAGTATAAGATAAGCCTAATCTGCATAATTTCTAACTAAACCTTTATCTCGATCAGATATTATAAATATAAAAAATTCAAAGCAAAACAAAAACACAAAATAATTTTTCATATACATATTATATATATCGACGAAGCCGGTTTATAGTGCTTTGACACTGATATTTTTTAAAAAAGTTTTATTTATGCAAGACAAAACCAGTTTATCACCAGCCAAATTGTAATCTTGACGTTGTTGTCCAAATAACCAAAATAGTTTCACTTCATTAGCAACACTTTTTACCAGATTATTCAGACACTGTTGCCAAAATTAAATTAGGTCAGCAACATTCATTGGCATTTCTTCAATTTTAGTGTTATAAAAAGTTTCGATATCCTTTAAGACACGAACATCTTCTTGACTAACAAAGTTAATAGCGACACCTTTCCTACCAAAACGACCACCGCGACCAATTCTAAAAATTAATGTTACCGTTTTGTTAACAGGCACATATCTAAAAAAAAAAAAACTTACAAGATTTGTTAAATATGTTAAGCAAGTTTACCTGTGAATATAATTTTCTCTGTTGGTTGGCAAGTCATAATTTATAACCAACGAAACTTGCTGAACATCAATACCTCGAGCCTGAAAAATTTTAACCAATTAGAAATTTAGTAGTAAAAAACCCTGTAAAATTTTTGAAAAGGCTATGTATTAACTGTCATTTAGTATTTATAACTTAATTTAACTTTCCAATTTTCTATTTTGTCCAGTATCAAGAATAAAAATTATGTAGTGTGTGATTGTTATCCCATAACAATTACACACTTGCATACACCCGATGCTTTTTAAAGTTCTCTCTGTATCTATATGTCAATTACTATTTTATTAATCATTTATTATTTTACAATTATATCAAAATATGTCTTATGTGTCATACTAATTGTCATTTTATACTTTTTTTATTTTGTAGTTAACAAAGAACAATAACAAACCAAAAGATCTGTGGTGATCAAAACACGACTAGATCCTGATCGAAACTCTTTCATAATCAAGTCACGTTCACTCTGATCCATATCACCATGCATAGATGAAACAGTAAATAACTTCTCATTCAATTTTTCTTTCAGCCAGTCAACTTTCCTCCGGGTATTTAAGAAAATAACAGCTTGCGTAATGGTCATTGTATCATACAAATCAGTAAGTGTTTCTAGTTTCCATTCCTACATACAACAAATTTAATTAGAATATAAATTTGGTAAATTTACTTTTTAAAATGCTGACATAAATCCAAATAATTTTGAAAACAAATTCGAATTATTTGGGATATATATATATATATATATATATATATATATATATATATATATATATATATATATATATATATATATATATATATATATATATATATATATATATATATATATATATATATATATATATATATATATATATATATGTCCTGTAAACAAAACCAGATTTATAAGCTTCATAATAGAGCTATAGTTTAGAGCCATTTAGTGCAAAGTTCACAAAAACTTAAGGATAAACGAAAGTACCTCTTTTTCAACATTGATAAAAAATTGCTTGATACCCTCAAGGGTCAATTCCTCCTTTTTAACCAATATATTGATAGGATCTCTCATAAATCTTTTTGTAACTTCTAACACATCATCAGGCATGGTTGCTGATAAGAGAATAACCTAAAAAGAAGTTTAAAAAAATAAAGTTGTTTAAAATATTATTTTGGCTTTGGTTTTATTCTATAATTTACTTTTTTTTTTACTTTTTTTTGTTAACAGCAGAGCTTTCAGATTTAAAAAAAAAAAAAAAAAAATCAGAAAAACAACTTTTGAAATTATATTTCTTGTTGTCCTATGGTTTTCTTGAAGATTACTAAAATAAAATTTTACTAATCCAAGTAGAAAATTTTGTTGTTAAATTAAATGTAAACCCACAATTTTAAAAAACAACTCATTGCAATCAAGAGAACTATTTTTTCACTTTTTTTTCTTAACTGCATATGAGTCTGTCCTATTATAATTAAACATAAAAATTATGACAATCTAGAGCAACATAAGTATTTCATTTTTTAAAAACTGCACAAACAATGAGAATTAGTAAATTAAGAGAAAAACAAAGGTCGCTAGGTCAAATTTTTAGCGCAAAAATCACATATATGTTCAACTAAATTAAGACATGGCCTACTTTACAGTTATGAAAAATGGTGAAAAAATAGCTTGTAATCAGTCGTTTAGGCATCTTTTTAAAAACATGAAAAATATAAAAATATCAAGTTGCGTTTGGCTTGTCATATTTTTCTTTGTTTTGGCTTTGAATTTTGCGTAATATGTGGTCAAAATTGTCCTCATGACATTTTTCCTTTTAATTAATGTGATGTTTTTGCAATATTTATAAACATCATTGTAATTGTGAGTTTACATTAAATTTTAAGACGAAAACCAACAAAACTTTCCACAGATTCATTTTCCGTGGATTAGTATCACCCCTTTTTGCATTATTACTATTTATTTTTAACAAATTTGTTCTTCATACTTTCTATTTTTGACTTAAAGACTGTCATTCAATTTAAAAACTTTTATAAAAAATATTTAAAAAAAAAAATTATATTAATTCTAATTATACCTGAATAGAAGAAGGAAGTCTCCTAAAAACATCATAAATTTGATCTTTAAAACCACGAGATAACATCTCATCAGCTTCATCTAGAATGAACATTTTTAGGCTATCAGTATTCAGAGCACCTCTGCTAATCATGTCAAATACTCGACCTGGAGTACCAACAACAACATGTACACCAGCATTTAAAACATCTAAATCTTGACGAACAGCGGTGCCACCAATGCAACCATGAACCTTAACTTTTTGATAATCACCGAGTGCCATGATTACTTTTTGAATCTACAAACAAATAAAAAATTCAAACTATTTTTTGACTAGTTTTTTAGAAAATTTCAAAAAGACACAATTAATAGATACCTGCTGTGCTAACTCACGTGTAGGAGCCAGAACAAGAGCTTGGGCATTAAAATTGCTTAGATCCAACTTTTGTAAAATTGCAATAGAAAAAGTGGCTGTTTTACCAGTACCAGATTGAGCTTGTGCAATAACATCATAACCTAATAAATTTAGAGTCAATACAACAATTGATATATAAAATAGCAATTTATGTTTATGTTTAACAATGTTAGTTTATCACAAATTAACACATAAAAATATAAGTTACCTTTAATAGCTGGCATAATTGCTCTCTGCTGAATGGCAGAAGGTTTTTCAAAACCATAGGCAAAAATACCTCTGAGGAGGTTTTCCTGTAAGTTCATATCGTCAAAATTGTCAATGACTTCAGTCCATGTTGACTTAATGATAGTACCATCTCCTTCAGTTGTGAGCAACTTGCTCTCGTCATAATCTGGTTGGCTGTAAAACAATTTATGCTACACTATGCAGATATATATATATATATATATATATATATATATATATATATATATATATATATTCTTTACACACACACACACACACACACACACACACACACACACACACACACACACACACACACACACACACACACACACACACACACACACACACACACACATACACACACACACACACACACACACACACATATATATATATATATATATATATATATATATATATATATATATATATATATATATATATATATATATATATATATATATATATATATATATATTATTGTATGTGTATATACATATACACACATGTATAATTCATATATGTTAATTAACCTTCGTCTAGTATATTTAGATATAGCAAGAAAAACATATATATACCTAAATCATCTATAATCTAAACCTAAACATGTATAAATTGACTTAAAAAATTTAATTCTGACAAACATTTTATGATTTATGAGAACAGCTTATTAAATATACCTTAAGAGAGTGATACACAGTGCATATATCATCAACTATGATATATATTATAATTATAAGTTGTATAACTTCTATATATCTAATCGTGAACAACTTGCTTCCTAACTAAACCTCTGACATAATAAATAATAGTTGGGCTTAAGAACATCTCTAGATTGAGATATTAGTATAAAACTTGCGAATTGTAATTTCTAGGTGGTTATACCTTTGATAATAATCTTCGGACATGTTAGCATGGGACTTCTCGAAAGAAAAGAATCTCGTCTTTTAGAAGACTGGGTTTGGTGCACAAATCCATAATGGCAGTTAATACAACTGCGGAACATTTATTAGCAATATCTAAACGCGGCGAGTGTAAATTTTGCATTAATGTAAATGTGTATCGTATTTGATACACATTTACATTAATGCAAAAAAGTTTTTAGTTTGATTAAACAATTTATTAGATTACTTGTACTTGTTTTTCTTTATACCAAGTATTTATTTTGTCTGTGCAAGTAAGTTTTTTTTTATGAAATTATATGTGATTTAAATTATATATTATATATAACGCAAATTTTTATTTAATAGTCTTTATTTTTTAACAACCGTTTAATTAAACAAAAAATAGCTAAATAACAAAAAAAAATTGATAAAATTAATAATATAATTAAATGTATTTAGTATATATATTTAATAAAATTATTAATAATATAATATATAGTATTTCTACAGTATAAGTAATGATAATATCGTAGGTTTAAAGCACAAAAATCACATATAATAATGCAGCTTCTTGAAATTTCGGCCATAAATATTATTAAAAATAAATAATAACGACATTAAATATAAACAATTAACTATTTAGTTGATCCTCAATTAAAGAGTTAATTAATTGAGGATCTCAAACTCGAAAACCTGATTTTTTTTAAACTGCAAATATGAACAAGTGTCTTGTGTGCTTTAGGCCATCGGTATAATAGTAAATATAATTTATGCAATATTATAGTAATAATAATTACAAATGAAATAATAGTTAATGAAATGTTAAATCAAGGTTAGAAAATTTTACAGAAAGTAGATTAATTAGTATATAAATTAATTTTGTCTATCTTTAATATATTTGTTTAAAATATACACATTTCTTTTTATCACCTACGTTAAAAATAAATTTTTGCTATCTTTGTTATCAACAACTGCTTTAAGGTTGCCTGAGAGGTTTTATTTTATATGAATACCAGCCAATTTTTTTTTTAATTGGCTGGTAGTAGCACTTAAAAATTATTTAAATAATTGAGATGTTTTTATTGAAAATTTTAACAGCAGAGGTGTATTTGATTCTCGGGGTTAGGGGAGGATGGCATTTCTTAGTTAATTTCAATTTAAAAATGGCTAAAATAAATCATCGTTTTAATGACATGTGAATCAAATACACCTCCTACCTTTAATTTTTTAAATGATTGAATTTATGGTGAATAAAAAAATTTTAAATTTTTTGAATTATAGTATATTATTATTGCAAAACTTTATTATATAATAGTTCTATTATATAAGTTGTTAATTAATAGGACTAAAAACTGAGATCTAAGAGTTCTAAAAGTTGGTAGAAATTCAAAATTTAAAGCTTATGCGAATACTATTAAATCTTTTTAAAAAAGTTTATATTCTACATATGTTAAAATTAATAACATTATTTATAAAATGACTAAAGCTTTATTTATAAACTAAAGCATTATTTATAAAATGACTAAATGAATAAATAAAACTATATAAACTTGAAGTTAAAATTACTTTTTGTTATGTTTTTAATTGCATTTGAAAAAAAATTACTCTAAAACTTATCTTTTAAAACGTTTAATTAAAGTTACGCTTTTGCAATTTACTTTTATTGATTGATGATAATGGTATATAAATAAACAAATTTTATTTAGTTATTGAAAAGTGAATTTAGATAATTGAAAAAATATATCTAATATTTTTAAGTTGTATAAATTTTTTTTTTCAAAAAGTTGCAAAAAAATATTATTTAAAAAAACTAAAGTATCATAATTTTTAAAAGTTTTTTTAAATTTTAAAATTTAAATTTTCCATAGTTTTTTCTAAAAATAAAAAAATTAAAATGCATGGTAATTTTATTTTATTGAAATAATTTGTATTTTTCTACAAATAATTTATCTACAAAAATGCAAAGTTATGCAGATTTTTACCGATTTTTATGCAATGCAATATCTTTATGGATATGTTGAGTCAATTGGAAAAAAAAACTTAGTTATGTTGCATAAAACATCTATATATAGCATTAAAGGTCTATAAAAACTTTATTAAATTGCATGAAACAAAAAATATTATTATATTGCAAAATCGTAATTTTTAATCGTTTCATGCTTTAATTAGTAAGTCAAGTTAAAAAAACTTTTACACAATTCATTGTAAAAATAGAAACAAACAAAAAAAAATTATTATAAAGCAATTAAATTATGGGATTTAATTTTTATTTAACTTTTAACTTATTCACAATTCAAAGTAACTTAAAAACTAATCTTTTAAAAAATTTTAAGAAAGACATGGAAAAATAGTTTCAAACATTTAAATTTTTTCCACATAATGCATTTATTTAAAATGATCATTATAAAAAAAATTTATTTTATTTAAAGCCTACGTGTACAATAAAAACTTAACTTAAAAAAAAAGATCAATGGTTAAAAGTTATTCATAACGTAACGATTTTTTTTTCATTGCATTTAAAATTGTTAAAACATCAAAACAGTTGTTGTCAAATTGTAAAGAGAAAAAAAAGTGTTGTCAGTTACAGCGTGAAAATTTAGATTTATCTAAAAAAACATACAATATTAAGTTGAAACTATTTTATTTAAAAAACAAAAATGATGCGATGAAATACTCTAAATAATAAGGAAAGAAATTGCAACTTTACTCGACTAATGTTAATTAAACTGAATAACATGACAAAGATTTCGATAGCACAACTCGGTTTCGTAAAACCAAAAAGATTATATTTTAAAAATTTGGTCGGAAAACCTAAACAAGTTTTGATCGGATATTTTGTCCAGGACTTTTAAAAAAATTAATTTGAGCCTTATATATATATATATATATATATATATATATATATATATATATATATATATATATATATATATATATATATATATATATATATATATATATATCAAGTAATTTTTTAGACAAACTAAACAGGAAATTTCGTATCTTTTAACTTATAAAGTTAAAAGATTTTATCATTTGAAAAAAAAATGTTGAAGTAATGCGTTCATTTTGAAAAATCCTAATCAAATGCCATTGTTTCCATAAGCAGAAATAAAGAAACATAGTGTTCGTTATTCTGTCTATTTTTTAACAAACATGCGCATGTTTGTTGATTTGTTGCACCCAGTATCCAGTAAATCGGTGAATGTTAAAAGGGTAGAAGTCCAACTATGTAAACTTTTGGGCAACTAAAAAAACTGTATTTTTCCCCGTTGTAATAGTTTTGTTAATGGTTCAATAATTTTTTTTTTTAGAAGGTGAAAAACATCCTTTTCAAAAAAAATGTTTTTAAAACATTAACAAAAATTTACTACAGGGGAAAATACAGTTTTTTTTAGTTTCCTGAAAGTTTACATAGCTAGACTTCCGCCCTTTTAACATTCACTGATTCAAATAAAAAACATAAAAACAAAATAATGACTTAAAAATTAGGAATTAAATAAGTAGACATTAGGTTTGTATAAAATATATAATCCATTCTATTAAAATATTAAAGATATAGTTCATAATCATACCTGATTGCAATGGCAAAGATAGAAATAGAGAAATAAAAAAAAGGATTTAATAAAAAAAAAAAATTTTATTAACAAAATAACCTTACAAAAAAGTTAAAAGTATGCTGAACAAATATAAAGCAATAAAAAAAGATTTGTTTAAGAACATATTATTGGTCTTTTCAGAGTTAGTGTTCCGCTCTGAATCTTTAAGAATTCAGAGTAGGCACTAACCAGGTTTTCCTTTATATGCAAGAAAGATTTTACAAAAAGTTATCAATGATTGTGTAGAACAAGGCATTGATCGCCACAACAGCTGCATAGCCGCAGATGAGTGACAAAAACAGTTCTTGTTTTTTAAAAGAATTTAAACCAGAATTGAAGATAGAAAATAAAATTCATAAGAATTAGAAAATTCATATAAAAGTATAATATTTAAAGTCATGCAGAATTTCTATTAGAGATTTCTATCATAGCTCAAGGTGTTATTGTAAAACAAAATTTTTATATAGTATGTAATTTAAAAAATAACAGTATGTGAAATAAGTAATTACTAAAATTGTTAAAATTTTGTTTAGGTTTTTTTAACTTTTGTCCCACTTTTAACTAATAAATCTAAAATGTTTCAAACTTTTTATTTCAAATTATTTAGAAGTATGTTATTTTATTATAAGACTTTTAAAGTTCATTCAAGTGTCATTAATATCTCTTTAATATTTTTTTTAGGGTGTTTATTGTTTTTATGATTTGATTTTGTAAGTTTCAAGACTGAAATTTACTTCTTCTATCATTAATCTGCAATCAATGCAAACATTATGGGTATGAAGGAATTGTGAATCTCAACAATTTGGCTTATTCTTTGGCTGATTGGGGCTTTAAAAATTAGTTTGATGTTAACAGTACCTAATTAATGATTCGAGAAACTAATGTAAATTAATTACTAGATTAATTAATAGTAACTAAGTTACACATAATTTATTTATTCATAAATTAGTAGAAAAATACTTAGCAAAAATTTTTTTTTTTTTCATTTAACACTGTGTTTCATCAATAAAGACTTTATGATGAAACCCAGTGTTAAATAAAAAAACCCACAGGTTCTTCTTGCCTATATATATATATATATATATATATATATATATATATATATATATATATATATATATATATATATATATATATATATATATATATATATATATATATATATATATATATATATATATATATATATATATATATATATATATATATATATATATATATATATATATATATATATATATATATATATATATATATATATATATATATATATATATATATATATATATATATATATATATATATATATATATATATATATATTATATATATATATATATATATATATATATATATATATATATATATATATATATATATATATATATATATATATATATATATATATATATATATATATATATATATATATATATATATATATATATATATATATATATATATATATATATATATATATATATATATATATATATATATATATATATATATATATATATATATATATATATATATATATATATATATATATATATATA